CCATTTCTGCTGTGTATATAAATAAAAAGGTCTGTTAATCTTTTACATATAGATATATTAAACCCTGGAATGAATATCCCTATTCCCACATTTCCATTTGAATTTTTTTAACCATCTATGTAAATTTTTAAATAGATATAATACAATTGTCAAATATATAAGCTGGTTTTAACCCCAACTTCATTAGGTTTCCATTCTCTTTCCAGGAGTGTGGATCTAAAAGGCTACTACGTACTTCTACAGAACGAAACAAAATTAACAAAACAAAACCAACAGAATAGAATCAACAAAACCAAAAAGAGAATAAAATCCTCTCAATTACATTGATTAATCTAAGATAAGGAAAAACAATTATATAACACTTATCTCTTAAGTTCTTTCTAAGGATTTATATTAAATCAAAGTGTATTCTTTCCTTTTTAAGGTTTTGAACCATTTTCCTCCTTTTTCTTTCATACTTCTTACAGTGTACTTTAACATGTTTGAATGTAGCCTATTAGTAAACTACTGAAAGTCTTATGGAAATCACAGGATGCAGCAGATTTATGCCATTTCAAAGGACAATAATGGTCATAATTATCAGCAGCATCTGTGATTAAAAAAATCACATCAGTCCCATTACAAAGGCATTTTCATCAAAACAATCAGATCTGCTTCCTGTGACCAAATATCTGCATTCATAAAAAAAATTATATTTATTTTAAATTTAATAGCTGCTGCAAAGCTAGAGTTTATAGAATACAAAAGAAAAGAACTCTTACTTTTAGATATTGAGCAACATTTTAAGGAATTAAACCTACTAATCCTCTAGAGCCTCTCCAATTCAAAGTTGTCCAGATGAAAATCATTCTAAAGTCAGACGAATAGATATAGAAATAAAAATAAATGCACTGAAACAAGCGCGCGCTCTGCGCACCGCAGGAGCGCGCGTCCAGAAAAACAGGGATACCGCGCGCGCACTCCCGCTGCCGCGCGCTCCTCGCAGTACTTTGGTGTTCCGCACTTCTGCGTCCCGCCGGTTGATTCTCAGCATCCCACAAGATGACAATTAACACTCTGGCTAAAGGAGGACTGCACCAGGAGCAAATGTCATGCTTTCGGAAGGTAAACCTATTATTATATATGGCTTTTATAAAATGTTTAACTTTAAAACAAAAGCGATCCACAATAATCTAACCTATTTAGATGTTTTGTAATAGAAAATTAAATGATAAATAGAAGAACATGGTCCTGTTATGCACGCTCTATTTTTTTCTGAACTTCTAACTTATTGATGAGTGCGTGTGATGTGAGTGTTTTCCTCTCCATGTGCGCGCTCCCCTGAAAGATGGAGAAAGTGATTGTGGCCATGCAGGACCCTGATATGGGCATAAAGATGAGAAATCAGAGGCTCCTTATAACAGTCATCCCGCACGCAATGACAGGTGTGTTTAAAATGATCTATGTAATCCATGTGCATTTGTAGTGAAAATTTTTATTGTTCACTATCAATTTACAGCAACACATATTTTAAATCTTTCTGTGTCTAACTTCTGCTTTTCATTCTTTTATCAATATATTTTTTTTTCCCTCCTGCAGGTCAGGATATAATTACCTGGTTGATCCAGAAATACCACATAGGTGAAGAGGGTGAGTGCTCTAGGTGATAAAGGTCTTTGATTAATTCCCTGCCTCTGTGTGGCTGGCTTGTTGTGTGTCATAGGAGAGTTGCCAGGATATTGTGTTTGCTCTCAAGATGAGGTGGATGTGGTTTAGGTGTGTGATCCATGATCCAGAGGTTGCTGTTTCCAGTAAACAGGAATAGAGTGAGCCCCACTGGGCCATGAGTTTGATTAAGTCACCTGATGATGTGTGTTTGATTAGTGTTCCTGCTGAGCTCCTCAGGGGATATTATCATGCCTGAACTAATTTTAAGGTTGGAAAAAAGAAAAGTAGCATGCTGTTCTCTTTTCACTCAGTATGCACTAAAAGGTGGGAATGAAGGCAGTAAGCTGTCAATCATAAGAGGGATGAGGCATTTTATCTTTACTTGACTTCAGTTCAGTTGACTTCTTTACGACTCTTTATAAAACAAACAGATCCAAATTATGCACATTACCGTTTAACATAAGATAAATTAAATCAGATACACTGGCCTGAAATATTCACCCCCATTGCCTTATATCTCTGGTTTTAAATGAGATTGTTTGAGAGTTTCCACTAGTTTATGTAGTGAACAATCCCACAACTTTGAAGTTGTCTTCTGTTTTTTTTTTTTTTTTTTTCTGTTGAACAACAAATAGGATACATTTCAGAAACTGTCAGAGTGCATAACTGTTCCCCGTTCACCACACATCCCAGAATCTGTAGTATGTAGATCCACATTTTACAGCAATTTGAGCCGCACTTCACTTTGGATGATTGTCGATGAGCTTGCCGTATTTCACCACTAGGACTTTTGCCCCTTGTTCAAGGAAAAATCGCTCCAGCTACTTTATGTTGGATGGTTTATTTTTGTAAACAGTGATCTACAAGTCTAACCAAAGACTAGTAATTAACTTAAGGTCTGGAGCTTATTAGGCCAATCCAACCAGGGGCGGAGCTAGATGGGGGCCAGGATTGGGTAACGGTAAGGGTGGCCGTGGCCACCCCTGTGGCCCCCCTACCATTTTTTCCCTGTAATACAGACAGTGGCAGCAGCAATACTCTCAAATGGAATGTACTAACTTATTTAACATTTTAATTTTCTATATGTAAACCATTAGCTGACAACAAAAACACTTTGGTTAATTATGCCCATCAGTATACTAACATTAAAGATAAATACAGAATTCATTCTCTTTTAAGAACTAGATTTTGTCCTATATGGGTAATGAGAAATTGTCTCCGCAAGTCATCTAGGAATCTTCACTGAAATCAGAGATAAATAACTACTTTAATAATAAGTAATCCATTTAATGTATATACTAGTATATGTAAATATAAATTTTATGCAGAGTGATTATTAATAAAAGTAGGTGAGTAATGACAATGAATAAGATGTTCACCCCAGAACTCAAAACTGACGAATTCTGTCCACTACACCTTTGATTTAGACAGCATGGATGTTTAAATATATATATGTGTATATCTATGTGTTAGCAAAGGCTGCAGGAAAGTATAGTTTGTCTTGCTGTAGTAAATATGGATGTTGTTATTGTTCATTTTCCTTTTGGAACAGTTTAGATTGACCCTGAGGTTCTGGTGCCTATCCGCTTTTGGCCACCCCTCATTGTACATTGGTTATTGCATGGCCACCCTTATAAAAAATTTCTGGCTATGCCTCTGACTCCAACTAAATTAAATGTTTCCCTTTAAATTGGTCTTATAGTAGCTTTAGCAGTTTGCTTTCAGTTATTGTCCTGCTGGAAGGCAAACCTCCATCCAAGTCTTAAATCCCAGGCAGCCTGGCAGGTTTTACTCATTAGCTTCCCTCTATCAAGCCAATCCATCCTTACTCTGAATGGATACACAGCCATCCCTATAGCATAATGCTGCCAATACCATGTTTTATTTTGGAGATGGTGTTCTTGAGATGAAAGGTTGTAGGTTTTCACCAGACATAGCGTTTTTTCTTTTGGCTGAAAAGGGCAATTTTAGTCTCATCCAACCAGAGGACTTTCTCACCTACATTTGTGGAGTTGCCTTTATGGCAAACAGGACAGATATTTTATGTTCAGTTTATTTTTTTCTTGGATATGTTTTTTTCCTTATTTAAAAAAAAGAAAACTTAAAATATTTTTGCTCAGAGCTATAAGATGGTATAAATAATTATTTCAGGTTGTTATTGTACTAAATCAGTGAAAGCCCATAAAGTGGAAACTTTGGAAAGCAGTATGAGGTGATTAAAATGTATACACTGTACATAAATTCTGGTTTTAACCCTGTCTATAGTACAATGGACTCAAATGCAGTTTTTACGTATTGCCATTTGGTAGAGGAGATCGAATCTACTATTGATAATATCGATACCAATGCTGGTATTGATATTGAATGATGCTCAAGTAAAAATATCTATATGCTGATGAAGGTTCTCAGTCATCCAGGTCATAGTCATTCCGTAAAAATTCAAAAAAATATCCACTGGACTTGGTTTCCAAGATTTGAAGACGTTTCGCCACCTCTCCAGGAAGCTTTCAAAGCTTTGAATTGAGAAAGCTTCCTGGAGAGGTGGCGAAACGTCTTCA